CAGGGAAGACAGGGAAGAAAGGCATCCCAGATAAAAGAAAAGTATGTTCAAAAGGTATGTACATTTGGGGAACTGTACCCTATTTGGTGTGACTGGAATGAAGCTAGACATGTAGGTAGGAACAAGATCCTGAAGGATCTTGAATGTCATGACAAAGGATTTAAACATTATTCTTAAGGCATGGGCAACCAATGAAGAAATTTCAGTCACTGAAGACATGTGAAATTATTTAACATCAGTCCCTCTGATGGCAGTGGGCAGAATGGATGGGGCAAGAATAGAGGTGGGAAAACCAGTTAGGAAGATATCGAAATTACTTGGATTTTTTTTTAAATAGCGTGAACCTGAAGTGTCCACAGTGGGAGATAGATGACAAAGACTGCGTTGAGAGGTGTTTAGAAGATTGAATTAAGAGGAACTCATGACAGATGAAAAAATAGGGGTTGAAAAGATGAAAGGTCCATGATGACTCCCAAGTTTCTGATTTCAGTGATTGGAAGGAGTCAAGCACTCGCGAGGAAAGAGCGGAGTAGAGGGAGATGAAGAGTAAACTTTTAAACGTGTCAAGTCGTGAATTCTCAGACAGAGATGTTCAGAAGATCTATGGATAGACAAGCCTGGATTTCTAGAGGGAGGTCAGGGGTGAAGTTAAGGATCAGAAAATTCTCAGTATGTAGTCAGTAGTTGAAGCCAAAGGCAAAGATCACAGTACCCACTGGGAGAGGCCAGGAGTGAAGAGACGAAACCCTGGGATGTACCAACACCCATCAGGCAGAGGTCTTACAAATCAAGGACAGAGAGAGGTCAGGAAGGAGGGAAGGTCAACAGTGAGCTGAAAGGTGAGTATTTCATTTAGCACCAGAAAACTGCTGCTGAACTTTAACAAGCTCCTCTGCCACTGGTTAAATGTGAGAGGAAATAGTAGGAATGGCCTTTTTTTTTCTTGGAAGCAGGTTCTTTCTTTTTACAGAGGCAAAGGGTTTCGACTGTTGATATACAAACACATCTATTCACATCTCACTGTAAGTCAGGTCAAGAATCGCTGGTGGGGAACCTGACACCTAGGTCTAACCTGGATCATCCTTTCCTCTCTCTGAGCTTCATGTGTTTCCTGTAATTAACTCTCTCTTTCCTACATACTCAATTGGAATGCCACTTGAAAAAAAAAAAAAAAAAAGGAGTGCCCAAATATAAGCTGAAGCCCTATATGGTCCTGTCTAGAGATGGTGTTGCATTCAAAGAAACACGGACCTGTTGGTATAATAATGTCAATATCTTCCTAACTGGTTTTCCCACCTCTATTCTTGCCCTATCCATTCTGCCCTCTGCCATCAGAGGGACTGATGTCAAATAATCTCAAATTTCTTCACTGACTGAAATATACCTGTTGGTATATTTATGGTGTATATATGATATATATACACCATAAATATTTTGAGTCATTCCAATTACTACTTTGAGAACATGAAAGGGAATCAAATTTGTAATACGCACCCAACCTCCTTAATGCTTTCCCAACCCTCTTCCTTTCTCACACCTCAGGAGCTCCTTCAGAGCCTCACAATCTTAATCCTACAATTTCCTCTTGCACCTCCAAAGTTTCTGAGGCCCCAGAATCTGTGTTACTTTTCCCACTGTCCCTTTATCCTATGAACTAGCTATACAGGCAGAACTCCCATCATAAAGAGAGAGAGAGAGGAGCTGAATAAGCAAACACTGTTCCCCTGAAAGCCAGCAGTGAGAAGTTCAGCAAAGGCTGGGAAATGCACATTTTAATAAATTTTGTCCCAGCTACATCTAGCACTTTAATCTCTTCCAAACACTTATGTTCGTACTCTCCTATGCTCCTCATACCACTCCTTCTGTGAGATTGGTAGAACTGATTTCAATATCTTTGAAAACAGAGACCAAGATAATAAATCCCCTGTCTGTATTCACCAGTCACGCCAGAGCCAAACTGGACATTCAGCAAGGTCTCCTGACTCCCGCCCTGAAGTGTCAGCCCAGCCACCTCTCCCTCCCCAAGCACCACATGGCTCAGCCTCAGCAGACACTCCCTGCCTGTGCTGTGGCTGATGAGAATGAATTTGGGAGTGTGGAGCCATTTATGAAACCCAGCATCTTAAGTACACTTCATCGTAGGTGAGGAAAATAATTTTCTCTCTTCCCTTCTGAGTCCTAGCCAAGACCCCTGTAATAAAAGACATATTAACAAGAGAAAAATAATTAACATGTGTATCTCATATACACATAGGAGATACCCAGGAAGAAATGGGTAACTCAAAGAGATGAGTTAGAATTTAGGCTTAAATACCATTGTAAGAGGGAAAGGAGACAGGGAATGCAGGCATCTTAGAGGAGAGTAAATGATTTTTAGGAAAGATGAATAGGTCCTTAGAAGAATAGATGATAAATACAATAGTTTGTGACAAAGTTTGTCTGGGGGTGGTGTCAACTTCGAGTCTCCTCTCCTGCGATAAAAGTCAGTCTTCTCTGGTTGGTGAGTCTCTGGCGGAGGGGAATTAGGACAACTGAGTTCCTTTTGGAGGATCTGTCTTTAGGCAGAAAAGAGGAGTTCAGAGAAGGCCTCTCTCTGCATGTGCTGTATTTCAAGTGTCTACAGCTCAAAATAATCATATGCTAAAGTGGCATTTTGAGGGTGGCATAAGCTGCCACCCTTCTTCATGCGTAAATGAAGAAACTTAATTCTCTGGAAGAAGAGAATGGGGAGAAATGAACTCCATTTTCTCAAATTTTTTCTACAGCTATAATCCAGGCACCTCCCATGGATCCAACCAGTGACCTGAACATCATATCATTTATTTTCTGCTTGCATTTTGCATGCCTACAATTCTTGTTGAAATACCATTTCATCCTGCTGCCTGACAGACAGCTCCCCCTCAGCTCCATCATCTGCCAGATGCACAAAATCTGGAAGGAAACGCTAGAAACCTAGACCCCCTTTCAAATATATTTACGTATGGATTATTCAGAAATCCTCTATTACTGAGCAGTATTTTGGTGGCAATTTTGTCCATCCTGCACCATTCCTTACAGTAGTAAACAAAATTCATCTACTACAGGACATCTTATTTCATCTATTCCTCCTTTTCAAACTACTTTAATTGAGAGAGAGGCGAGTCAGAAAAAAGAACGAATTTTTCAGGGAAGAAAATCATCTATCTGACATCAGATAGCAGTTTCCGCGATGTTGTGCTCAGACGGAGGGACGGAATAAACAGCAACTTTAGCAACAGCAGCTCTTCACGTGCCACTCGGGCAGCAACCTGGTCTCCTTCCCGGCCAGCAAAGTCAGGGACTTCAGTTGAAAACAGGTGTTGGAGCCCTGGTTGTTCTGCACATCTTGGGGAAATATCACTGCAAAATTTAAAATACTATTGGCACCAGGTGCATGCTAAGAATGTAAGTGGTGCTGTTAATTTACTCTAATGAATTAATTACAGTAATGCCCTGATCTACAGGGAATTTCCCTAGAAAGAGAAATGGAATGATAAAAGACAGCTCTAACGTGGCTTCCTGACTCACAATGGAGGAAGTTCACTCCAGAAGGGCTGCTCCGGGAAATCTAGGGCAAGAGAGGACAATGAATGAAACCCCCCAGAAGGATCCACTGTACCAGTGGTTCTCAGCAAGCGCCAGAACATGCCGAGGGCTTGTTAGAACACACCCTGCTGGGCCCTCCCCTCAGAGTTTCTGATTGTTTCTAACAAGTTCTCAGGTGATGCTGATGCTGCTGGTCCAGGCACCACATTTAAGGACTACGGACCTACGGGCCGGCCTGGTGGTGCAGAAGTTGTGTGCACGTTCCGCTTCAGTGGCCTGGAGTTCTCCAGTTCGGATCCCAGGTGCGGACATGGCACCACTTGGTCAAGCCATGCTGTGGTAGGCATCCCACATATAAAGTAGAGGAAGATGGGCATGGATGTTGGCTCAGGGCCAGTCTTCCTCAGCAAAAAGAGGAGGATTGGCAGTAGATGTTAGCTCAGGGCTAAACTTCCTCCAAAAAAAAAAAAAGAACTATGGGCCTAGACCAAATGACCCACAGAATAGGAGGCAAAGTGAGCTCTGGAATCAGCCAGACCTGGGTGTAACTTACAGCTCAGCTAACCAATTGCAAGATCCTGTGGAAGCGCCTTAACCACTGTAAGAGACACACATAACTCGTTGTGGATGGGTGACAACAACCACTCCCATGCTGCTGTGAAGAAGAGGGGCATGCAGTCTGACACAATGTGTGACCTTAGCAGGCTCCGCAGAGATAGTGACTGGCCGCAGAAGCAGTAGCCGCAAAGGCACATCTTTCCTGTACGCTCCGTCATCGGTTCATCAGGGCAAAACCAGACAGAGACACAAGTTTACCTTGGCTGTGTCCCCTCTGTTTGGGTCCACTTTTTTAAAAAGCCCTGTTCTTAAGTAAAGACCAGCATACCACTAGGACAAACTACAACATATAATAATAATGACAATAACTGACAGCTAGTGAGCCCTTCCAAGATGCTGGGCGCCATGCCGAGAGACACATCACATTTATGTTTAAACCTCATAACAACCGTAGGATGAGGTAGGAAGCATCATCATTCCCACAACACGGTAACGGAGGGGAAACTGAGCCTCAAATAGGGTTAGTAATTTGCCCAGGGTTAGCCCACCAGTAAGTGGCAGACCTGGGACTTGAACCCGGATTGGTCTAACTCCAGAGTGCAGGTGCTAGCCACTGTGCTGGGGGCTTACCTACAACAGTGACAGTGATGATATTTGGCTTCTCCACAGTGTTTTCCAGCTAATAGGACACTCTTCTCTTGGCTGTCCTCCCACAGCCCTGGGAAATAAGCAAGCTAAGCATTTCTTGGTCCAGCTTGCAGAGGGGGCTAATAGGGGTCATGACTGGCGCTCAGAGCTTCACGCGCTGACACACTCAGTGAGCTGTCTGTTCATTACACACGGACAAGCCCTGCTGTCATTATTTATTACGGATCTACCTTCTCAGGAAGGAGCAGCTGGTGGCTCGTAGGTGGTGGTGGTAAGTGCTGGTCCCTGTCTTCATAGGGAAAGACAGTGGAGGGGTCCAGCTTCAGCAGCAGGGTCCATGAGAAAGCTGGACTGGAGATAAGAGACATTGTTTGAGTCCTGACTTTTGCTCCTTACTTGCTGTGTGCCTGTGAAGAAATCATTTAATATCTCTGAGTAACCCGATAAAATCCTCAACAGCTCAGTGCTTACTTGAATAACAAAAGATCTAAGAGGAAAAGGAAAGTCATAAAAAACGATGTGATAAAACCCCACTGACCACCCACCCCTCATACCAGTTTAGGAATTTACTCACATATTTTACAACAAATGATGGTACTTTCTATTCTTTCAGATCAGGAATAGATTAAAGAGTGATACAGCTCAGAAGTAGTAATAGTTATTAAGAGAAGGGATCGAAATAACATTTATGAGGACCTACTGTGTACTGGGCACTCTGATAGGGGACTTCCAATTCATTTGTATGTTTAGTTTTATCCTTTTAAAGCACTGTGGGAGTGGTGTAAATGTTCTGTTCTTCCAGTTGAGCTTACAAAAGTGAAGTTACTATGGGGTCCAGGGCAGGCCACCCCAAAATATCCCACAATGGCATGCTGATTTTTTTTAATTAAAGTTACTTGAGAAGCAGCTGATGCAAATAGGGCATTTTAACCCTCTTTGTTCCCCCTGAAAGCAGGAAATAAATCTTCCATGTGAAAGGTAACTTCCCCTCACCAGGAAACAGAGAGACAGCCTCATCCCCAGAGTGAAGGAATTCAGGGCTGAGAAGCCTGTACAAATAACCCTTGTTACTTTTTCAATTTACTACCCCAAATCCAAACTCTGCTTAAATTCCTTAGTAATTAATCACCCAAACCTAAGTATCTTTGTCTTGTCAAATCCTCACAAATGTATTATTCGTGTATAAAGATATAAAAGCTGCCTGGTTTTTGGCCACTCTCTGAGCATGATTTTTATGATCTCCAGTGCAGACACATTAAATTGCTTTTTCTCCTGTTAATCAGTCTTGTGTCAATTTTATTATTAGTCCAGCCTTAAGAACTCAAGAGGGGTAAGGGGAAAATTTCCCCTCTCTAGCATTGCCCACCTAGACACAAACCTAGAGCTGTCTGCTTCCAACGCCCTCTCTCTCCACGATAAACCCCATAGAGGTTGGGAGATAAAGGAGCCTGGCATTTTTCCTACCATGGATGTGCTGTAGCTGGCCCTACCTGCTCTGCAGGGCCTGTTGTACACATCTATTCCCGATTCTCCTTTCAGTGACTTCACATTGATAGCTTAACACAAGCCATGGTGGGAGCATTTGCACCATGAAAATCAGCAAATGCTACAAAGCAGGGCGTCCCCTCCCACTCAAGAGAGCCAGTTGACTTGCAACTAGTGCCCCATCCCCTCATCCTCACATGAGCTGGGGAAGTCAGAGCATATACTTCTTTTCAGTCAAGGTTGATCTACCAGGCCATAGCGAAGTTACAGGGTACTGAACCACTACTTAATATTTCTGGAAAGAAAAACAAAGTTGCTTTGATCAAAAATTGTCTTGACTTCAAAAGAGCCTTTGTTCCTTTTCCTTCTTCACTCGATGGATGGTATTCATTATCCCCAGAGCCCAAGCAAAGCATGAGTGTTCCAAAGACATTGTTCCACTGGTTCCATTTGGCCTCTTCCGATCCCACAATGAGAGCTGAGTATCAGCCCAGGAACATAAAAGTGTCAGCAGTGTCCTCTTCTCCATCCCAGAATTAGGACTCAATAAAGTGAGTCCATGAAAATGTCAAGCAGTGAAGACAAAAAGAGGCATCTTCACTTAATCTCCAGGATGTTCCTTTCCAGGCATTGTAAAGAGCCCCTTCTCTCTGGGCTCGTGAAAATAAAGCGATCTTTTCTATGTTGATGCTGAAAGACTTCATGTTTCATTCTGCGTTTGGAAGCAGGAAAACTCCTAGGTCGGTCCCTCTCCCTCTCCTGAGGGCTCCATTTCCTTCTCAGTAGGACGATTAAACTAATCAAAAGTGGGCTTTACTTTCTCTTGCCTTTAAATTGCCCTTCGCTCTGCATGCTGCCTGGTGCTCATTAGGAGCTTCGCATCTTATGCCTCTTTCTTAGACCTTCACAGATACTAGGATACAAGAAATTCTGCTAACAGCCTCTTTTGCAATTCTACAAGAGCAAAAAATAGCTGCCCTTTACGTTGCTTCATTTGATAAAAAAATAAATGAAAGTTTAAAGACAATAACAACAGAACCCTGCCTCTTGTCTGTCCCACCTTCGGGTAGAAGACATCTTATTCTGGAGACGAGTTCCTTCACCTCGCTCTCTTCTCACTCTTTTCAAGGATCACTTATTTTTTCTGCTTACTAATTAGCTCTACACTCACTATAGTCTTGAAATCTCATTGTCCTGTCGAGGAGACAGGTGATCACAGCTCAAGCTCTGAGTGGCTCAGGTGGCTGCATGCTGTGAAGCAAAGAAACTTGAGCACAAGCTGAGCCTGGGGACAAATGCCAACTAGGAGCCCGTGGCTCCTGCGGGCAGACAGGAACTCTTCCATGCGATATGAACCCACACCTGGAGTGTGGGGACTTCATTTTTTAGTGAAATGCAGATAAGAGAGATACACTTTGGAAATGGAACCTGATTTCAGTTCCCTAGTCTAACTTTTCAATGAAAGTTTGCTTTTCACTAAGCAAACAACTATTTTTTTGAAGGAAAAAATTCCTCATGAACAGAGCACACTGCTAGAGGACATAGAAGATAAAGAGTTAAAAAATGAGAAGGAATCACCCCCAAAGAGAACAAACAAAAGCAGAATCACTGAGGGTGGAGCCCAGGCATCCTGCTTTTTTATTTTTATTTTTTAATTATTTTATTGAAGTCACATTGGTTTATAATATTGTGTAAATTTCAGGAGTACAACATTATATTCCAACTTCAGTATAGACTGCGTGTTCACCACCAAAAGTCTACTTTCCATCACCATACACGTGCCCCTTTACCCCTTTCTCCCTCCCCGCACCAGCTTCCTCTCCAATAACCACAATCTGCTCTCTTTATCTGTGTGTTTGTTTGTTTGTTTCTCTTCTACATATGAGTAAAATCATATGGTATTTGTCTTTGTCTGACATATTTCACCTAGCATAATGCCCTCAAGGTCCATCCATGTTGTCACAAATGTAACATAAGACCTGAAACCATAAAACTCCTAGAAGAAAACATAGGCAGTACCCTCATTGAAGTCTGTCTTAGTAGTATCTTTTTGAATATCATGTCTCCTCAGGCAGAGGAAACAAAAGAAAAAATAAATAAATGGGACCACATCAAACTAAAAATCTTCTGCAATGATAAAGGAAACCATCAACAAAATGAAAAGACAACCAACCAAGTGGGAGAAAATATTTGCAAATCACATATCCAATAAGGGCTTAATTTCCAAAATATATAAAGAACTCATACAACTCAACAACAACAAAAAAGAACAACCTGATAAAAAAACGGGCAGAGGATCTGAACAGACATTTTTCCAAAGAAGACATACAGATGGCCAACAGGCACATGGAAAGATGTTCAACATCAGAAATTATTATGGAAATGTAAATCAAAACTATAATGTGATATCACCTCACACCCATCAGAATGGCTATTATTAAAAAGACAACAAATAACAAGTGTCAGAGAGGATGTGGAGAAAAGGGAGTGCTCATACACTGCTGGTGGGAATGCAAACTGGTGCAGCCACTGTGGAAAACAGTATGGAGATTTCTCAAAAAATTAAAAATAGAACCACCATTTCATCCAGCTATTCCACTTCTGAGTATTTTTCCAAAGAAAATGAAAACACTAATTTGAAAAGATATATGTACCCCTATGTTCATTGCAGCATTATTTGCAACAGCCAAGACTTGGAAGGAACCCAAGTGCCCATCAATGGATAAATGGATAAAGAGGATGTGGCATACGTATGTAATGGAATATGCATTGTTTTTTTTAAGGTCACCAAGTGTATCAGGCAGCGTTCTCCAAAGAAACAGAACAAATAGGATATATCTGAATCTATAGAGAGAGATTTATTTTAAGGAATTGGCTCACAAGATTGTGGGAGCTGGCAAGCCTGAAATCAGGGTAGTCTGGCAGGCTGGCAGGCTGGAAATTCAGGTAAGATTTGATGTTGCAGTCTTGAGTACAAAATCTGTAGGGCAAGTCAGCGAGTAGGAAACTCAGGCAGGACTTCTTTGTTACAGTCTTGAGGCAGAATTTTTTCCCTGGTAAATGTCAGTTTTTGCTCTTAAGACCTGCAACTGTTTGGATGAGGCCCACCCACAGTTTAGAAGACAATCTGTTGTACTTAAAGTGACCTGATTGTAAATATTAACGCATCTACAAAATACCTTTGCAGCAATATCTAGACTGTTTGATCGAACAACTGAGCTCCACAGCCTAATCAAGTTGACACATAAAATTAATCATCACACTAACAGATTCTATTAGCCAGCCAAAGTTGAGAACCATTGACTTAAAATAAAATTATTTTGGAGGTAAAGATTTCTAAGAAATTGGATAACCTAGACCATTCATCAAAATAAAAATTTGTTTCCCTGTCCTCTTTCAACTAAAATGTACAGTCAGAACCACGTAACAACATTTCAGTCAATGACAGACCACATACACAATGGTGGTCCCAAAAGATTAGTACATATAGGCTATATGTATAGTAGGCTATGCCATCTAGGTTTTTGTAAGTTTACTCTATGATGTTCACTTAATGACAAAATCGCCTAACAATGCATTTCTCAGAACGTACCCCTGTTGTTATGTGACACATGGCTGTACTCCCTGAGTACCCACCTTGTGACAGGCACTGCTCTGAACATCCTGTGGATGGGTCAAGTGTAATACTGCCCTCAAAGCATCCATATCCTAGTAAGAGAGGACAAAGGCCAACTGCTTATGCCAACAGCTCTTAAGTGCATTAAACTTATTGCCTCACTTTATCTTCTCCAGCGATTGCTTCTAACTATTTCCACTCCCCTGAGTTCTCCACCCCATCCTCACTTCCTTCGCTGACATCAGATGAGCTTATCTTCTGTCTTGTGGAAAAGATGGAGGCAAACAAAGATGAAGTGCTTTCACT